CAGAGGTTGCAAAGCATTTACCAAGTGTATGGCAAGATGCAATTGACAAAAACAGATATCATACCTAGTTTTATGAATTTTGAACGATGACAAATAATGTAAAAATCAACTGCATTCTAGACACTTTTTAATAGTTATTCTGGACCAAACCATAAAAAGTGACCCACATTGAATGTTCACAAACTATCGAAACTTTGTCAGTACACAGAGCAAGTATCAAAAGAAGAATGCAATAAGCTGGGATTACTGTGAAGTTTGAGCTGTATATTCCATATTAGCTTTCTGAGAAGCAGTTAAAAGAAAGAATCAGTACTTGTATTTCTTTTCTTCAAATTACTGAAATGAAATAATTTTGGAATGAATTGAAACGGGAATTCAGCCATAGATACCATGCTGTGGGGCCAACCGTTGAAAAACCGTGTGCTGAATTGCAAACCGTTTAGAAAGAAGTTCAACCTCAGAAAGATGACTGCATCTTAAAAAAGATTTGGTGGTGATTTGTATATTGGAAGATACTCACGTGTAACCAAATGTATTCTGGTTTCTACTACCAACGGCTGGACAGGCTGAGGCAAAACATATTTGAGTGGACTGCTCATCAACCGTGTAAATATTAATTTTCATCATGGTAGTGCCAGATCTCATGCTGATTTGATCTCTCCCTGAAAATTATTGAACTTTGGTTAAGATGTTTGATCCCTCTTCCTAACTACTTTCTCTACTACAAACTACTAATTTCATTCAGTCATTATGAAACATCCTCTCTCTTCATACCTTCGATGAGTAAAAAATGTGAAGAAGGCATTATAAGTCTTTTATGACTCTAAAAATAGAAGTGTTTATCAGCTTGGGTTAAATCTGATACCAAACAGATGACAATGACATTGATAACAATGGCCTATTGTGTGAAAAATCTGCCTTTCATTTTCGACTAAAAACAGTACAACTTTTACACAACTCAACAGTTTAAACGAAAATTATCACATAAGATATTAAAAATGTTGCTGTTAACTACCAATACTTGCAAGTGGACGTTTCTGGGACTATTGCTTTCCATGATAAGTATGCAATATACAAACAGCTATATGTCAAAGTTCCCACAGATAAATCTTCCAGAAGAAAGATTATGTACTTGAATATTTTTCAAAAACGTTCGTAGAATTAAAAACCTTGAAAAGCAAATATTATAATAAAAATTAGGATTTCATTATTTTTCAATTACGGTTTGCATTAAAAATTTTTAATCGAAATTATGAGGTTTATGTTACTCAAGATGTCGAAAAAGAGTGTTTAAAATCAAAGCATTTTCTTTTTTTATGAACAGTTAAACTCGAGACAAATGTTACCTAGAATGGCTGCACTACAAATAATTCTGGTATATATGCAAATGCCTATGAATTTATTCTGTCTGCTGCAGTAAAAGTCCTCATATTTTTTCCTTATTTAAATCGTCTAATCTTCGGAAAAGATCAATTAAATGCACTAAGACATCCAACCACGATCACCAAAGAACAACTTTCCAATTCGCTTCGATCTGGAAGGAAATTTTAAACTGAAAAAGAGAACAAATCTTAAATTGATATTAACATCTTAGATTGGTTCTTTATTGGCTATTTATCTACTTGCATGATCCTTTTTTATTTGCTTATGGATAACCATCTAACTTCAACGTATTGTAAGACAGAACTCCCTGCTCGCATCCCATTTTCTAGTACACAGAATTTAATGCAAGTCTTTAATAAAACTGGCAACTTCCACCAATTTGTCTAAATCAGTTTTTAGTTTATCAGTCACATTTACTGTCAGAATTTCGTAATGCAAATTAATTAGTTTGAAGAGGACTAATTTTCCCAAATTTAACAAATTCCCAAAATAATAACGATTGCATTAGAATGTAAAATTTTAATTAGCCGAAATATCAGATATTAAATATTGTGACTTAGCACCCGCTGTAGTAATAAAATTCAATATTATTCAATAATTTTTATTGAATACATGAAAGCGTCCTGCCATGTTATTTTAACAGCTTCAATAAAATAAACATTTTGTTGGTTAAATTGCCAGAGGATTTTCCGATAAATATTCTCAATTAAAAAATAAAAAGAATAATAAATAAATAAATAAATAAAATTACAAAATAAAACTAAATAAAAAACAAATAAAATAATTTTTAAATAAAAAAAATCTGAAAGGTTTCAGATTTTAAATTACGTCCAAAGGAGAGTTTTTTGTGTTACCTTTATTTATTAAATATCACGTTCTTTGCACTTAAACCATCAAATTCAGTTCAACACAGCAATGTCTCAAAATAATTTTAAAATGAGCATATCTTTAGAATTTCCAGTACACAGTTTCGCGCGCTGGAGATAAAAAGGTCCCCCCCCCCGTAGAGTGTTGCCATTGCTCGCTTTTAAATCGTTGAGTTTGTTAATCAAAAATTCGTTAAAGTTTTACAAAATATAAAATCGATAATAAAACAAATTTCAAATTTGGGCTATCAGATGCTCATATTCGCAGTAGGATTACGTCATTCAAAATTGGATGGCTCTAGGTACCGTTGTTATGTCACAATGCGATGACATACATTCATTTATGCAGATTCTTCATTATTTAATTTCTTCAAATATAATACAGGGTGATAGTATTTGGTGGCAACGATTTGAAAAGTGATAAGCCATTTACAGGGTTCCGACGCAAAATCGCAAAACGGGACAAAGCCCCTTTGGACTGAAAAATCTGAAAGTTTTCAGATTTTATATTACGCTACGATTTTTTTGCTCCCGGGAACAATTACAAAATATATCTCTTCTACAAAAACTTAACATTACATGGTTGGTGTTATGATTAATACAATATACGTGTCCCAGACAATGATACGGTCTGCACAACGCCTAGGCAAGCTGAGCATCAAATTATCGAGCTGATCTTGGGGAAGATTACTCCACTCAGCAAGCAATGCTCTAGAAGTTCCGGTACACATGCAGGAGGTGCTTTATGGGCTGCAATTCGTCGGCCAAGCATGTGCCATACATGCTCTATCAAAATTCAAATCAGGTGAGAATGCTAGCCATTTCACACGGGTGATATCCTCAGACTGAAGACATTCCTTTACAGTGTTTGCAAGGTGAGGACGGGCTTTACCATTTATAAACACAAATTCTGCGCCCATAGTACCCATCAACAAACATGCATATTGTTCTAGAACGATGTCCAGATAAATATGGCCCGTCATGATTCCGATCTGAACATGCAGATCTGTTCTGGAGCCCAGTATAATTCCACCCCACACGAACAATCCTGCACCATGGTGTCGTTCAATGATTTTGTCTTGGTAGTAGCCGGTACTTGGAGTTCTCCATATGAAAGTCCGACGTGACAACACGTGGAATTGTTGCCATTTGGTATCAGGATTGACTTGACTGATTCAACAGTGACTGCCTAAATATGCAGGTATATGTTTTTATTTAATTAGAAATAAACTTTATTTCGAATTAGATAAATTATTTCTTAGCTCGGGGCGGGGCGGGGGGAAGAAAACATAAATACCGTAGGCAAAGTTTAGTTTTTAAATTTTTAAAAATAAAATCTCCAATATAAAAAATCGATAATTTTTTCTTCTCACTTGGGGTCCCGGGGCATTGCCTAGGTTGTCCCGGCGATATTTATGGCTCTACTGATAGTTTTAATTCAATTAAGTAATTAAGTAAATCCAACAGACTGTATTTTAATCATTCCCATAATTTACTCGAAATTTAGTAACAATAAATTCTACATTAGCTATTTGAGTTTGGAGAAACCTTTGCTTTTAAACCGCCATCTAGTCTTACAGAAAATAATTGAATAAATTTAATACAGAGCATATGGATCGAGACAGCAGATAATGAACGATTGGCTATTAATAATTCTAATTCAAGTCACCATATAAATTTTGTAAAGATTCTTTTACAAAACAGAGATGTGATATATATGTGTGACAAATAATACAAAAAGTTACTAGATTATCCCTCTTTCCGTCATGCAGTCTGTCGTCATGGTAACGAAGGTAATAAATAGTATTAGTCTTGGAGTGAATAGGCCCTATAAACGGTTAAGATATAACGAATCCACATCCCATCCACGTAATTAAGGTAGCTAAAGATTTGAGTATATAAATCTATCAGGATGGGAACGTCTAGCAATAAAGCCCAAATTCTAGTTAATGAGGATGCGGAAAATTAAATTAGTAGATTGCGATATCGGAACGGAAACTGCTATCCTCTGCCTTGTGGATTTTCCTCTAGAATAGATATGGCAAATGACTATTTGACAATCAAACGGGCTTAATATGCAATCAGACAGCAATAGCTCTTAGCCTCACATTCGAATAATAACTGTAGAGCAGAAATTATCCTTAAACAAGTAGAATCCCAAACATACTAAATAACAAAGTTAGCCTTTTCCAGACACCTCCTACTCGGCATTAAGTAAAAACAAAGGATTTAATTTTTACTGGGGGGGGAGAACCCACTTGCGATCTGATTACAGTCTAACGCGTCATAAAGAATTAACAATTTTTTTTAAATACAAAAAATTTATGGATATCAAAACACATAAAATATTTTCTTTCTCTTCATAAATAAACATATTATCTGCTGCTGCTAACTCATGAAATAAAATCTTTACTAATGAATAAATTTTCAAAACTTTATAGGTTTTCGCTTTTTGTTTCTTAATATAGTATGTATATAAAGAGAAAAATATTCAAAAGTATATTAGTATATTGAACAAACTTAGAAATAGAGAGGCTTGCAATTTGTATGTTACTATATAATTAATCATTATAATTATAATTTGTATGTTATTAAATAATTAATGATTAAAATAATTTTATTCTGATCACAGATGATAGCAAACTTGAGAAATATTTAGAAATCCACTAATAAATCTAGTTAAAATATTTTTTAAGTAATTTATATTGCACTGAATAACTCATTTAAAGATAAATGAAACACTTTGCATTATACATTTTCATTTTGCAACAGCATCAATTTATTGTGGACATCACAATATCACAAACTGAAAACAATAAACACCTGAAACAGGTTTTCTTCGAGAATGTTTAACCCCTAAGTACAGACATTCATTTTCTGTTACGTAAACACAGAGGAGGGGTCTCTCAGACCGCGCTCTATTTTATGCATTTTAAAAATATAAAATTTTAAAATAATGTACTACTGTTATTATATAAGCATTAACACACTTTGCTTGTTATACTAAAATAATTAATTCGTTTTAAAACTCTAAAATTAATGCATTCAAAATTAATTTTCAAATCACGTACGAAAAAGCACAAAACATTTAATCAAATAAATAAAATTATACTACTTACTTGCAAATGCGTACAAACTAAACTATTTAATAAATTTTTCACCTACAGAATCTGGATTATATAATATAATGCAAAAAAAAAAAAAAAAAAAAAAAGTATAATATGAAGAATATTTTTAAAAATGCAGCACACTGTTTTAAGCATTTTCCAAACAATTTTTGGAAATTCTCTTGACACATTTCTTACTTATAGGATTCTTGCAGCTGAAACATAGATAGGAAGCTTTTCTTCTCAGTCTAGGAGGGGAAAGAAAGCATGTTTTATGCTTTCTAGGGGTATTTGTTACATCTGGGCTAGAATAGATTCTGCTGGAAACTCCTCGCACTCTCTGAATGCACATGTGGTTTTCTGATGATAACGTGATCAAAAAATTAGTTCCCCCCCCCCAATTTGGCACTACCTCTTAACAATTGGTGTGTATTTAAGACTTAATCAAGTAACCTAAAGAATATGGACATTGGCCATCACCTTGTTCTTCGGCTTGTAGAATGTTTAGAACATTTTTCATCCAATGCATCTACACCTCCTTTAGTCAAATTGTAAAATGTTGTTATTTCTGGTTCCTCAGTTTCAAGGTCTTCTGATTTCAAATGATGCATTGAAGAAATGAGAATAACACTTTTTAAGTTTTGAGGCACATATGAAACAAGAGTCATTCTATCTGTGAATGCATAAAGGCAAGATCCTTAACTTTTTGTTTTATTTGGATAAAATTCACCTGGTATTTCTCTCTTATTTTTTTTCATAGTGCCAACATAAGTCAAACCTCTAAAGTTAAGTTCTTGCACAAGATCGACACTCAAGTAGTAATAAAGTCATCTGCCCCTCATGCAAGAGGAAAAGTAGTATAAATGCAGAGGTAAGGTCTATATGGCTGCAACCCAATTTTAAAAATTATTTTAAAAAACTAATAGATAGAGTTTAATAAAAATTTAGGAATAGATATATTATCCCAACTTGAAAGTACTGAAAAGGAAAAGAATAACTATATAACTTATATGCAGTTTCGCAGTTCTAAAATACTGGCGCAGTCATACAGACCTCACCTCTGTGTTTAAGGGTTAAATAAACTTGCTTCCGGATATCATCTAACAACTTAAAAAAGAGTTTACACTTGAACATGCTATTTTATTATTAAAAATGTTATTGATAATTTATCTTATCAATGTGAAGTAAATGTCATTTCATACTAATTACTTGATGCTCTAAAACTTTCTTTTACTCTATCTCTTTTCATTTTCGATTTCCGATGCCTATCTTCCAAATTTCATCACTAAGGGTGCTGCTGTCATTTGCATTAGGTCAAGCATAGTCACTTTACTATACCCTTACCTCACTTGCACAGCTGTAGCTCTCTCCGTTCCCAAGAGTTTTCAGGTTAAAGGGTCTTTCCTGTGCACTCTGTATACTGAGTTTTTTGTTTGTTAAAAAAGATAGTTAATAAGGATGGTTTTCTTTGCATCTTATTAACAATGACCCTACATGATATCAAATTCAAAATATCACCTTGCATCCATAAATTCAGCACTATAAGTAATTTTATAGAACATAAAATCAGCACTTTAAATAAAGACTTTATAATTTAATGTTTATTCATGGAAAATGGAAGATTTATGAACACATTTTCTTTGCTTTCTTGCATTTTTACATTTGAAAGCTTTAAAAGACATTTTCTCATTCAGTTTATATCAAAATTCCACCTAAGCAAAATATTATTTGATTCCAAATTTTCTACCAAACTAAATCAACATAATAAATACATTTTAATTCAGACTTTTAAACAATATAAATAGGTCATAAACTTGGTTTCTAATGCTAAATACATATAAATGTTGATATAAAGTACTCATATTAATTTGAAGAACATTACATTTTAAATGCTAAGTTTCAGCTAAAAATGAAAGTTTACATGAAATAAGACTAAAATCTCATATATCTATCTGTACAATTAAGTACATACAAATGCTAAAATAAAAAAAATATAAAAAAAAAAATTCCACTTAAAATTTTTACTTCAAAACATTCCTAAGCTTTGTTCATTTATGAAGTAGGAAATATTATATATGAAAATATTGTCACAGCTGCATTTGTAAGTACCCACAAAAATCTAGATCTTAAGAAATTCATTCTAAAGAATTAAGCATTCAGTGTTTCAGTTTAAATTTGTTCAATAGAATTAAAATTAATAATAGTCACATATAATAAAATAACTGAAACATAGAAAAACAGCTGGTCTTATTTAGAAAGGAGTTCAAAATTTATTCAATGGTTGCTTTGTTTTCTTTCCAAATTCTAAATGAAAAGCAACTTAGTAATTTATTTCTGATAAATGTTACAGAAGTTGTGCGTTTCTTAATTAATTTACAGCAATTTAAACACTGATGCTAAATGAATTATACAATAATGAAAAACATAAATACCAAACTGGGGAAATATTTTTTCACTTTTTATTTAATATATTAATTTAAAGAAGATCTAAAAAATTTTGTTGATTCAAGCTAAACTAAAAGAAGCAGCACAAATATTTTGCTTTACTATGGGCATGCAAATAAAGCACAAGCAGATATATTATTTTCTTAGACAATATGTTTTCTATATAGACAATATGTTTACTCATAAGTTTTAATTAAAATCAAATTTGTTTTAACTGTTTGTCACATTTAATGCTGCAGGAAGATAAACTGTTAATTATAAATATTTGGCATGATGTCTATTCATTTTTGTTTCAACACATCATTACCTTCTGCATTTATTAATTTTTATAGTTATTCATGGTATGTCCAGATACTGGCTAATCAGGTCTGATATAATAAACCTTGAAAACAAATGTTATTTAAGAAAATATCATACCATATTACATTTTTTCAAAAGACTCCATCAGATTAGATATAATTATTTAATCCTTATAACATAAAATGCATTTAAGAATTATGAATGTCTAAATTACAATATTCAGATAGTAATTCAATAATTAATCCACATATATACCCTTGAGTAATTTAAAAAAAAATATCCGAGTTAAAAAAATTCTTCAAGCCATCTTTAAAAAAAAAAAAAAAAAAAAAAAAAAAAAAAAAAAAAAAGAGTGAGAGAGAGAGAGAGCTAAAAAACTGAGAAAGCATAGTAAAATCTCAAAGGCTTAAGATAATTTTATCAGATTTAAATCTTATAGGGAAAACACTAACAAAAAATGATTTATTAGTTTAGAATCTTACAGCAAAATAAAAAAAAAAAAAAAAAAAAAAATCAATCAATTATAAAAGTGATCTAACTGATATAACCAATACTACAGTGGGACAGTGACAATTCATGCAATTTATAAGAGAAAATAAAAAAATGCATTTCTGACTTATTGTGTAAATATATTAAAAATTCAAATTCATAAAATATTGAAAAACTGCATCATTGACCTCACTCACATTGAAAATATAGTTTTTCTCCTCTCACATGTCTGTACCCACCAGCAGCCAAACGGTAAAATCGCTGAACACTGGTAGTTATGACCTGGGTTCAATTCCAGGCAAAATGTCTGGCTGCATGGGCATTTTCATGGTTTCACTCATGTGCAACTTGCATACGAGCCAGTTGACCTTACAAAGTCCTCTACGAAGGTATCCTTCTCATTAGGGAGATAGCCCTAATGTGCTTTGCCATAATCAACTAATCCAAACCAAACCCTCACTAATCTTTTTTTATTGGGGGATAAAAGTTAATGAGTAGTTTATAAGTTACAGAAAACTAAAAATAATAATAATCATTTAAAAACAAACACAAATAAGAACAATTGAGATAAGTTAGAGTATTGTATAAATGCACCTGTTAAAAGACAAACATGACAGTTTTTCTCAAGCACTGAATAAATAAAAATGAAGAAATATCTTTTATTATGATAAATTTCAGAAATAAAAAACATTTTATTGCTGCTTTTAATAACTGTCTTGACAATTTTAATCAAGCTTACTTTAAAAAAAAAAAAAAAAAAAAAAAAAAAAACCAGCAATTTTTAATTTTTAAATTGTTTAGTAACAATTTAAATAAAGCTTATATTTCAAAACAAAAATGATATGTGTAAGTTTGAATTAAGTGTTTAATACAATACACAATATTTTCACGAAGTATTTTGCAACAATTTGGAAATATAATTTTAGTAGTGGATAATATCACAGAATACTAACAGCAAAAATTTTAAAGCTCTATAATAAATAATGAATAAACATTGAAAGTTTTCAAATTTGAAAATCCTTGGCATCCACTAACTCAATTATAAAAACCTATTCAAACATGCATGTAAACTCTTCCTACTCATTTTTGAGAAAACTGACTACTATCTAAAACAATAAACAACTCCATATGTTTTTCTTTTTTCTTTAAAATATTGATCATATTCTTTAATAACATTAGCTTCTTTTAATGAAATTCTTTCAAAATAGTTTTGCACTTGTTAATATGCTCCAGCAAAAGCACAATCAATTTTCATATTGCTAAACATCAAAATTTAATTTGCATTTCTTTTATCACAACAGCTAACCAAATAACTATTTACAAAAAATACAAAACAACAAAGTCTAAATACAAAAGTCACAAACACATTCAAATTTTCGTTTTTTCTTGAACAATTTTAATCACATTTTCTACAACATCAGAAGTTCTTGCAGTACCACCAAGATCAGGTGTATGAATCTGTAGAAAATACAAAAAAGTAGTAAGAAATAAAAGTATAAAGAGTATGCATAAACATAATTTAGAGCCGGGTTTTCCAAACTTTTCTCATTGCAGAACATCAGTTGTAAATCAATTATTTTTTTTAATCTATTGCATTCATATCAGTCAGTTTAGCAGTCACTGTGAAATAATTTCAATTTCAAGAATTATCTTACTGTTATTAAGGAAAATACTGACCAATGGTAACTGCAAATATTATTAAAATGTAGGAAAATGACAAGGAAATAACAAGTAAAACTTGTCTTTACCAGTTATCATCTTCATCATACAGTAAAATTACAGTATTCTTTATTTAAAACAACAAATATGCTCATTAGTTAACACACATTTGATATTTACTTACCAATTTCAAAAAGAAGATAAAAGAAGTAAAAATTTGAAAGAAAACTAACACTTTTAAAATACTGAAACACTTCCTCACAGCACAGGACAAAAACACTAATAGAAATATATTCTGTATGTATTTAGTCAGCAACAAAAACCATCAGGTGTCATGCTTTCATTACTAAATTTATTAACCCATTCAAAATAAACATTTTGTTTTATGTTTTCTCTTTAAATTAATTTTTAAGAGTTGTTTTAAATTGTGTTATATATATATAAAAGTAGATAATGTTTCATTGTTCTTTAACATCAGTTCCATAGTTTTTCACACAACACTGGCGACTTCAGGACACAGTCTGGGAAATGCTAAATTAAAGTAATGCTTTTTTTAAAACAGAAATAAAAACTTTCAGCAGGTAGGGAGCAATACTATATGCAGCAGATGTCCAGTACTCAAATAATGAAATGTTGCTCTTTCACTACTTTCATTTTTATATGGTACTAATAATAAACATATTAATATTACACAGAATACTCAAATAAAGAAATTTTGTTCTAGGTACTGTGGTGTAGTGTTAATGCTTCAACGGTGTGATGTTGCACTCCAATAAAAACGCTAATGACAGAACACCACATGAAAATTTTATTGAACGCCAAAAAAAAAAAAAAAAAAAAAAAAAAAAAAAAAAAGGCTTCATACTATCAACAACAGAAAAACCTATAAATTTTTTCTTAAAATCAAATTCTACACATTTTACGTGTGAGAGCAATTCAGGGCTCTCGAGCTTGTGTTTTGAACATTGCCAACAATTTAATTATTTTAATAAAGACTATTTTAACAACTATTGAAAACATATTTCTAAGTTAAAAAATAATAATTTTCAGCTTATGCTCACGAGACATCCTTGTCCATATTAATCTTCAGTCTCTTCTTCTTTTATGTGACCTTATCACAACTCCTCCCCTCATAAAGAAATTTTTCTTGACTATGGAAGGAAAAATTCTAAATACATTTCACTGCTTTCAAAACACAAGTGGTAACCATTTAAATGATAATAGAGAAGCCAGTTACATTACCCTGCACTTATTTCTAGATAACATAACCGTATAAATACAACAAAAATAATTTAAACTACTCCTAATGTCTGCCTTATACAAAGCATATTCCTCAAATTTTACACAATGCTAATACTTAAGATAAAACATTTAATTCTAACAATTTTTTTGAAAATGAAACACACAATGCAAACAATTTTGAATCTACACAAATGTAATTCCAAAACTCCACAAAAATCATTTTCACTCATTTTCATTACTTTTTACCTTACTTTGTATCCACTAGTGATATTCAGTCATTAGACTAGGGCACGACTCAAGCCATCTGCATTATCGTGTAATTTGCCTGGCCTATGAACAATTTCAAAGTTGTACTATTGGAGACACAATGCCCAGCGAGTCAAACGAGAATTTGATCCCATCATTTTGTTAAAAAAAGTCAACGAATTATGATCAGTCTGGATCTTGAATTTTTTTCTGTCTAAGTAATGACTTAGTTTCTTCAGTCCATAAATAATGGTGGCTAGTTCTCTTTCAACAGTGCTATAATTTCGCTCCGCTTTAGTAAACTTTTTGCTAAGATACAGTATAGGGCGTTCCTCCCCATCCTGAATTTGAGACAACACAATAACCGCACCATATAAGCTGGCATCTGTCTGCACAATAAATTCTTTAGAATAATCTGGTGCAAATAAAACCGGACTTTTTACTAGTTTGGTCTTCAGTTTATTGAAAGCCTCGTCGCACTCTTTTGTCCAAATCACTTTTTCTTTTTCGCTTATCCCCTTCAAAGTGTCTGTCAAAGTGTATGCAATATGGGCGTAGTCTTTTATGTACCTTGCATAGTAGCCCACAGTATCAAGGTAGCTACGTATCTGTGTTTTAGTAGTGGGGATCGGAAAATCTCTGATTGCTTGAATCTTGGCCTCACTAGGCGACCTTTTCCCAGACCCTACTTCATGACCCAGAAATTTCACATGGTCTTGTGCAAATTTGCATTTCAAGGGAACAGTCAATTTAGCCTCCTGAAGGCAACCTAAAACCACATCCAAATCCTTCATATGCCTGTCCCAAATCGGCGAAAAGACTGTGATGACGTCAATATACGGTAGAACAAAACTGTCCAGCCCTCCTAAAACTTGAGTGATCAATTTACAAAAATAGAAAGGCGCATTTAAAAGCCCAAACATCATTTTCTTCGGGATAAAAGATCCAAAAGGCGTCACAAATGCGGCATACCTCCGTGCACACTCTGTGAGTGGTATCTGGAAGTATTCTTTGGTTAGATCAAATGATTGTGATAACTGGAGCTGCGCTGACTTTTTCTACCACTTCTTCAAAATTGGGAAAAGGGAAAAAGTTGGTCATAGTTTTTGAATTTAATTTTCTGTAGTCTATACAAGGATGAGGATCTTTACCTGGGACCTCTACTAAGATCATAGGCGAAGCATAACCAGATTGCCCGACTTCTATGACTCCTAACTCAAGCAACCGCCTAATTTCCTCTTTTAGGATGTTGGTTTGTCTCACCGACATTCAGTAAGGCCTGACTCTAACCGGAGTCTCATCCAACAATTTAATATCCATTTCGACCAAAAACGTACAGCCGGGGTCGGACGAAAACACCGCTCCATACTTCCTTATAACTTCTTGGAATTTTCCTATTTCCTCTGCCGAAGCTCTTTCTTCTAGCTTACTATCTCCAACTATTTTCCAAAAAATCTACCTGAGTTGGATCAGCCAAGGGATAAGGAATATTCACCTCTCCCTCAATATTTTCCATGACCTCCTCCATCACAAGATTCACAAAGTCGGGGCGCTGATAATAAGGTTTCATCAAATTTACGTGATAAATGGTGTCACTGCTACGCTTACCCGGAATCTCTGGAGTATAATTGGTTTCGGAAATCATACTAGTTACTTTACCTGGCTCTTTCCAGTTCAGACCATTTTGTGTGGTTTAGACGTGGCTAAAACAAACACGAGATCTCCGACCTTAAACCTTCTCGTAACAGCATTGCGATCATACCAGAGTTTCCCTTTTACTCTGACGCTCTTTCATCCTCTGTACAACCAGCTCCTGACACTTCTTTAATCTGTCTATTAAGTCTAGAACATACTCGACCACAGTGGGGTCTGAACTTTTTTCCTCTAGCCAGTTTTCATACACAATCGTTTGAGGCATTCTCAAATTTTTTCCATGTACTAACTCACAGGGACTAAAACCTGTGCTCTCATGGCTAACAGTTCTGAGGGCGAAAAAAGCACATGGCAAACATTCTTCCCAGTCCTCCCTGCTTTCCAAGCACAAAGCCTTCAATACCCTTTTCAAGGTGGAATGCAACCTTTCAACAGAATTGCTTTGAGAGTGACACACAGAAGAATGATACACCTTAATTCCGAACTTGCTAAAAAACTCAGATGTAATTTCACTGGTAAATGATCTACCCAAATCACACTGATTTTCCTTAGGGTAACCTGATCTAGAAAAGATTTGTATCAAGGCTTGAATCACACATTTAGAGTTTAAATTCTGTACAGAATTGGCATTTGGATATTTGTAAGCAACACAAATAGACGTAATTAAGTATTTAATTTCACGCGAACTAGGGATCAGAGGTCCTACTGCATCAATATTTAATCTGCTAAACACTTCTAATATAACACCACAATCTTCATAGGGGCTTTCTTTTTATCCTTATTGTAACCTACATGCTGACAAATATTGCACGTTCTCACAAATTCTTCAATTTCCTTGTAGCAATTAGGCCAGAAATAGTGTGTCAAAACTCTATCCTTGGCTTTTGTTACCCCTAAATGACCAGAGATTTTTTCGTGGCATAACTTCAAGATCCCTTTCCTAAAAACAAGAGGCACACACAGCTGACACTTATCTTCCCCTTTTTTAGAACCTGCCACTCTGAATAGTCTTTCCTTTGCTATTATGAACTCTTTTTCATTTTCACTTTCCCTTTCCTTCCACAGGGTCGCTAAACTAGCGCAAGTTTTTTGTGCTTCCAAGAATTTTGCTGGCGAAACATCCGCAAGAACAGACCTTTCTTCTTAACTGATGTCCTCCGTATTTCTGGTTAACTTCCTTTCTTCCGAATGCTCATTATTGACGGCCCTTTCACTTTCTACTCTTTCTTTTCTTCCGATCTAGAATCTAAGTTTTTTGCACTCGCTCTCTCTAAACTCCTGCGCGCATGCTCCTGACTACAAGTCTCCACAGCATTCAAGAGAACCGGTCGCTCCCTAATTTCCTCAATCAACTGTGCAGTTTTATTCCCTAACAAACTGTACTCTTTATCTAACTCTACCGGAGTAACCGCTGCCTTTGTGGTGACCACACCAAAATCACATTCAATGGTGACTTTCGCCAAAGGTAAATATTTACATTCTGTGTCCAAAGGCTGTTTCACCCATACACTTTTCCCTAATAAGTCACTAGTATTATTCCAAGTACTATTACACAGATCTATACCAGCTCCAGTATCTCTCAGATATTCTCTCTCTATCCCATTAATTACTGCTTTCTTGAAATATGGCTCAAAACATTTTCCTAAACTCTCCGTTTCTAAATTATTCACCAGATTAGCCTTATTCTTTTTCCAGCGATGGACAGTTAGGTCGGATATGTCCGTCCTTTCCACATTGGTAACACCTTATTTTCCGCTGTTTCTCGAAAACCTGCTTCATTGAAAACTTGCTTTTTTTTAGGAGCCTCCACTTTTCTATGCTCCTCTGATTTAATTCTTTGATGACCACTACCTTTCTGATTATAACTACAGTTAGAATTTATATACCGCTCTCTATCTTTCTCAAATGGTTTCTTTAACCCAGCTCTCTGTTCTAACTTCCTCCTATCTCTTTGCAAAGCCTCATACTTGTTGCATTTCTCTGCTAAAATGGAAGCTGTTTTAAATTCTTCCCAATTGTCTAAGTAGTGCTCTCTTATTTCTAGAGGGACTCGCCACCTAATTTGCTCAGTGAGCATAAGTTCCTTAAGACTTTCAAAATCTTGAACTTCTACTGAATCCAACCAATTCTCTAAATACACTCTCAATTCATATAGTAAATCCACCCATAACATTCTGTTTTTTTCTAGAATGTTCTTCAAATTTTGTTTTTAGTGCCCAAGAACTAAGCTTGAATCTCTGCATGAGTAATTTCTTAACATGCTGATAATCATCCCCTTTCTCTTATTGCTGGTTCTTTCACTATTAACTGGGCTACATCGAGAGGTAATAAAGGAATTAATTGCGAGACCCAATCAATCTCATTAACGTTCTCTTTTTGAGCTTGTTTCTCGAATAGCATAAAGAATAATGAAATATCTATATTACTCGGTTCAAAACACGGTACTAGATCTTTCAAATTAACCTTTTTTTCTCTAGATTGTTCAACTTTCGAAACCGTGGAAGCTATGCTATTAGTCTGAACCACATTCATCAGTTTTAACCTTTCCAATTCAAAAACTCACTCCCGCTCTCTCTTGTTCATGTTCCCGCTCTGCTCTCTCTTGTACACGTTCCCGTTCTGCTCTCTCTTGTTCATGTTCCCGTTCTGCTCTCTCTTGTTCACGTTCACGTTCTGCTCTCTCTTGTTCGTCTATTTATTCTGCTTTTCTCTGCACAGCTGCAGCCCAAATTCTTGCTGCGTATTCTTTCGCAGCTTCTTCTTCATAGTCCTCGGCATTTAGAATAGCCTGCCCAATTTTTCTTACTCTATTTGCCTGAGACACATTTGTTTCAAACTCCTCCGCTAACTCCGATAGCAGAGCTTTAGTAAATTTCCTCATAAACTCACCCATTATGGAAAATTAAAGAAAAATAACCTACCCCGAAATACAATAACACAAAAACAACAACAGGTCTATCTCTCCAAAACTGAATAATTCCCTAACAATTCTGAACACAAATTGCCTTAATGATAATACCTATACCTACATACAAAACGTATATTAAAAAAAAATGCTAATTAAGAGGCAACCTTTTCCTGCTCTATATCAACTATATAAATATTGTCCTCAAACTCTGGACTGATTTAAAAACTAAATTTTTCTAAAGCATACCGTTATAATACTTCATACAATTTAAACAGTTACTAATACAATAGAACAAACAATTAAATTTCATTTAGCAACAGTAACCACAAGCTTAACTTTCAATAACCACCAGAAAACTTTTGATCCCTGAAAACAGAACTATATCCAAAATAAACCTAGTCTCGAATAACTGGCATAACTTCTCCAAAATCACAAAAATGGTACTCACCAAATTTTGAAGACGCCTTCGATTGACTCTCCTGGCACTAACTTGGATAGTCTCCCGGGAAATTTCACTATTTTGCAGCACTAGATCAAGCTTCCTCCGGCGTTCCCTTCTGACACACTGACACTTGTCACTGAAGAGGCTTCCCCCACGTGAACTGTCCATGCACGCAAAATTAGAGCGTTCTTGTGAAGAGAAGAAAGTCTTGACTGCTCACATAAAACTCAAGTTCACAGGCAAAAAAGTCTGTTCCTAAATTTACTCTCAGGAGCAATCCCTAAAAGCTGCCACCAACTTTTAATATTTACTGCTGTGGTGTAGTGTTAATGCTTCAACGGTGTGATGTTGAACTCCAATGAAAATGCTAATGACGGAACACCACATGAAAATTTTATTGAATGCCCCCCCCAAAATGGCTACATACCATCAATAACAGAAAAACCTAGAAATTTTTTCTTAAAATCAAATTCTATGCATTTTACGTGCGAGAACAATTCGTGGCTCTCGAGCTTGCACTTTTAACACTGCCAATGATTTAATTATTTTAATAAAGACTATTTTAACAACTATTTGTAACGTATTTGTAAGTTTAAAAATAATAATTTTCAGCTTATGCTCACGAGACATCCTTGTCCATATTAATCTTCAGTCTCTTCTTCTTTTATGTGACCTTATCACAGAACTAATAATAAACATATTAATGTTACATAGAAATACATTATTAAATTTTGTAGCACATATCAAATATTTAATACATTGTAGTTTCAATAAATTTGTAAGGATGTTTAATAACGAACAAAATCTGTAATTGCCAAAAATAAATGCAGCATTTATAAATATAAATTTAAGAAAATTTAAAAATACTTTTTACAGTCCTGAGAACAAATAAATTAAAGTATACAGTTAATTATTTTAAAAGAATTTGACAAAAGTGTAGAATTAAAATCATTGTACCAAATTAAATTCTAGTTAGTTTCCACGCCTGCCAAATGTTTCTGCCAAATAATTATTCCTTATAGTCACAAACTATTTGCTTTATTAATTGAGATGGAGAGCTATGAAATGGAAGGAAAGTGCTATTGAATAGCAAGATCCTAAATGTCAGACATAGTGCTATCAACATAATCCTGAAAGGAGTTCCAAAACAGAAACTTAACAGCTCAAAAAAAAAAAAAAAAAAAAATGCAAGATCACCAATATTCTAATTCTTCTGAAGACTGCTTAATGGTTCTTTTGGCACAATAAAGGAATATAAGAGCATACCTAATTATTTTACAGCAACAGAGAGAACTATGCAATTTAACAATTTAATTAATTCTTGAATCCTGAACAAATGGAAAAGCAGCAAACTAATTTATTTTAAATGATTTTGTAATATTATTAGCAACTTACCTTATCAATATTTACTGTTTGAAAAATAGCATCACCAATAATTTTAGCATGCTTTTCAAGCCTGTAACAACAAAACACAAAATATGAAATTTGATTAATCAGCATAATTAATCAGAACATGATAGCAATATAATAGTCATGAGTTGAAAACAGCCAGAGAAAACACTCAAACAAGATGTCCTTAACTTTTTTTTTAAATTTTATTCACTTAAATGTTGATCTTACACATCTACTTACAATTAAAACTTTCTTAATTAAAGTTTAAAAAATAAATACAACATTTTAACACTGTGACAGAATTAATAATAATTTCAAACATGAAATCTAACTTTTTATATCCATAACAAAAGATCCAATTTATGAAACATCAGTTACACTTTAATAAGTTAAATACGAGGGTTAGAACTTTAATAGTGGCAACACAGCTGAAAAAACGCTACGCAACAAAACCAAAGAATATCGCGTATACCACACGTAAACTACCTACCTACCTTACCTATCAGCAAAAAGACTCGTCCTGCCTACGTCACGCGCATGTGGAGTGACGCGAAGAACGAATCCTTGTATTAGCTCGCGGTCTAAAGTAAGTGTTGTCAGGGTGTTTTCAAAACAAGAACAACGATGTTTGATAAAAATTGAATGTGCCAGAGGTCATACAGCATGACAGTGTCATCAAGGGCTTCAAGAGGCTTGCGGGGAATCTGCATTGCCTTACAGAACCATAGCAAGATGGGTGGAAGCATTCAATGAAGGATGCCAAAACGTGGCAGACATGCTGCGGCCAGGTCGTCTGAGTGTCAGCGATGCAGACGTGCAAGCTGTTGCCGCAATAATGGACAGTGATCGCCGTCAAACGATTCGTCAGCTGGCCGGACAAGCAGGATTAGCGCATACGACTGTGCTGCGCATTCTGAAGGAACGCCTGTCCATGAGAAAAACTGTTTCACAATGGGTTCCACATCAATTGACGGAAATGCAGAAATGGCTACGATACGATGTTGCCCGAACCCACCTGGAGTGCTATGAGCGCAAAGGAGATGCTTTTTTACACTGTATCACTACGCTGGATGAGACTTGGGCCCGATCGTACCAGCCAGAACTGAAATGCCAATCAAACGAATGGCGTCATCACGGGTCACCACGACGTTCGAAATTTCGTCAGAACCCCAGCAATGTGAAAGTTATGGTGATTCTCGTGTACGCCTGTGATGGTGTCATCCTAAAGTTTACAGGGTTCATACACATTTCCTTACATGAAAATTAAGGACTTTTAAGGACCATCAAAGAAAAAATTAAGGACCTATCAGCAAACAAAAAAATTAATAGAATAAAGCAATTATCCATACAACCGACTTCATGCTTGAAATTTCATTTTAAGAAACTAACAGAAGTGTGTATTATGCACTATTATTAAGTTCACTTTAATACTTACCATAAAACAATTTTGAAAATTAAACTAACTCCCTACAAGTTATGAAGTAGATAACATTAAATGAGGAACATAATTTCTTTGAAAAACATGTATAAGTGTATTTTACACTAATAACAGTCACTATTTTAGAGATTTACATGATTATTATTTAACTTATTTGATATTTATTTAAACATAGTCAACTACTATTATAATCACAATGTAAGAATATTTTGCAGATTAAAATAACTGATTTGTAAACATACAATTTATTTCCTTGGTTTTTTGAAAGATACTAGAATAATAAACTGTACAATAAAAGATACAAAACATTTGTGCTTTTTTTAAATCTGAAATCTTTCAGCTTTTTAACTCTAATTTATTTATGTCTATTTCCTTTTCTTTAACTATTCTTCTAAGTTCATTTGCTTTGATAAACAAATCAATGTTCCTGATGGTCTCAGCTTTATCTGCTAAAGCATCTACTTCTTCATTAATGTCTTTAATGTCCCTTTGAAGGAAAGTTTTTCTTCTGCTTCATATAATCAATTTCTTTTCCTCTTTGAATTTTCAGATTTAGTTAAAGATTTTTGTTCTTCTAAATAACTTCTAAAGAACTCCACTTCTTGCAGAAGCTGCTGCTGATGATCTCATTTCTTTATTAATTTCGATATTAAGAACACCTCCAGAAAATTTTATGTAATCAAATACTGTGCGTTGAAAAATGTATGATGAGTCACTTAAATTTTCAATTTCAATTGCTTTATTTACAGAGAAGCCCCTTTCCACAGAGGCCTGTTCATGTGACAAGATAAGAATACTTGTCACAGTGAATACTTGAATAGTGAAAATATACATTTTTTTACTATATATATATAATTTATTTCCTAAACAATATAGATTAATTGATTATATTATCTCCTAAGTTTAATTAAAGTAGAATTATTTTAAAAGAGTGAATCCATACTGGTAAGTTATATATTATATATATAAAGTCCGAGATCCGGACATCTAATATCTGGAATGATCTAAAATCTGGACCTCAAAGCCACCACCAACCAATTTTTTAGGGCTTTTTGAAGGGAAGGGGTTGCTTTACGCACGTCATTAATTTTTTTTTCTCATCATAAAAAAATGCCAGAAATCCGATTCTTAATCTTAGTTTGGTGCTAAATAAAATATCTCATTATTGAAGAAATAATTATTTTTTTTAGCATAAATTTGTGTGATTAGTAACTTGACTCCATAGCTGCGTATCTGCTTGGCATAATCTCAAACCGAAACATTTGTTAATTTTACACCAACTAATATTTTATATCCTTGATGCCGAAATCGCGAATCATTATTTATTGTATTTTGCTTTCATCACCGCATGTTTATCAACGAATGACAACTTGAGTGATGAATCATGCAGCGATGCCAAATAACAGAGTATTATACGATTACAGATTTAAATTTAATGCGCTAAAATGTTGACAAGGGGAGATTTAGCAGAAATTTCTTTCCTTATGCTAAAAATAGATTTTGTTAATGATACTCATAGGACAAACGATTATATTTAGTGCTATTTGAATTAAGAATAACTGATTTGTTATTCACATAAAGCCAGAACCAGCTCCAGAGCTCGCATGGCCGCACCAGGCGGCAGAATTTAGCGAAGTTAAACAGAAGTTTTTCATTGCAATGACAATGCCCAATCATCAATCAATTAACGGAGGGCGGAATCTGTAGTATGGTTCTAAATCCAGAAAATACAGCTACCGATAGTGAAGAAAGTAACAGAGAGGTTACTGAACGAGAAAAAATTTTGATTGACAAGTTATTCGGAATTCTCGACACAGCAATTACAGGACTTGAACAATGGAACTTAATAACTGAACAAGAAATTATATGTCTATAGTATTAGTCTAAAGTATTAGCAGAGAAAACAAATCAAACAACTCACATTGAAAGAAATGTTTAATTAAAGTAAACATATAAATATTAAGCTCTTTTCTTTGGTAAATTTTGATACCCTTTAAATCATAAATGCTTCATTATTTCATAAATCACGATTTCATATTTTCAATTTTATAATTTCTACGTGCCATCTTAGTAGATTTAAAATGATCTAATATCCGGAAAAATCTCAAATCTAGGATCGCCGAAGTCCCGACGAGTCCAGACCTCGGACTTTGTACACTGTATAAATATATATATATATAATACGGAATGTATATTTTCAGTTAAACTTCTACCCAATAACTTTAGTAATTCATGAAAGTTAATTTTGCGTCTAGTTAATTCAGGAAAATTAGTTTCAATTAGTTGTTTTCAGCTTTAAAAATAAAAATTTAAAAATTTTTAATTAGTTATTTTTTCAACTAATAATTGTATCGCCATTAGCAAAAATTATGCATTACTATCAAAAACATAGGTTTAAACCAAATACTTAATTGTCTATTGAAGCTTCAAAACGTATTTCCGAACTTCACTTTTTCTCGGCTAGCGTTACCGAATTTTGCCCTTGGCGACCTAAAATCGAAATGGAGCCAACAGATTTCCCGCGAAATCGATAACAGACCCTCTGCAGAAATAAACTCATAATCCCGATATCCCATACATATAGTATGTGCAAAAGAGAATAAACTCCGTAGAAGGTGATAAAAAAATTAATTTATGGCTTAATTGAAACAAACACAGAAATTAAGCTAAGCAAAACCGTGTAAAAAAACAAATTGAAATGATAAAACGAAACTTAATTTTCATGTGAATTTTCAGCGCTGACTCTCCCATTCTAGAAATTTCAATTTGTTTCAGACAAAGACCACATTTAGTTTAAGGATTGCCATCCATCAATATCCAGTCTTTGTAGTCAGCTTGATGAAGCCACAGTTTATTGAAAATGCACTTTCCAGGCATCTCGTTCCTATTGGCGTCGGAAGGGTTGTGGCCTTCCAGGTTGGAATTGCTCTAATTTTGGCAAATATTTTCAGAATCCCCCCCCTCCCTTTTTTTTCTCGAGCACCTTCATCATCACTTTCGCCTCTTAAAGAACTTCCGGCTTCACGCTTTCGTCACAGTCTGCCTAAATTTATGGATAACACCTGTTTCGAAAGATTGCGTGAATAGCCAATCAGACACCGATACTTTCGTTCGGGTAGCTAATTTTTTTTTTTTTTTTTTTTTTTTTTTTAATCGTTTGCAACGCAAATCCGCCAATAGATTGGTTAAGAGCCGTGTAATTTTAATTTCATATTCATGAGAAATCGTAATTCACACTTAGAACGGCAATCATTAGAAATGATAAGAAATGTCAAATGAGCAAAATTAAGGACCGTTTATTCATTTTGGACAAAATTAAGGACTTTTAAGGACCAAAAATCCTTTTTGAAAAAATTAAGGACTTTTAAGGACTGTACGAACCTTGTAAAGCATACCGTTCCCCTACAGCAGACCGTCACTGCGCAGTATTACTGCTCATTTTTGGAGCACAATCTCCGACCAGCTTTGAGAAAAAAACGGCGACACTTTCTGCAGAACGCTCCTCTCATTTTGCATGACAATGCTCGGCCGCATGCAGCGCAAGCTGTGACTGATTTGTTCAAGCGATGGGGCTGGGAAGTGCTTTACCATCCACCATACTCCCCAGATCTAAGCCCTTGTGACTATGACTTAATTCCTAAGATGAAGGAACCACTTCGTGTCACTCGCTTCCAAACTGTTCCTGAGATTTTTCCAGCAGTAGACCGGTCTATTCAAACTATCAACAAAACAGGCGCTGCTACAGGTATTCTGCAACTTCCACATCCTTGGAAACGGGTTGTACACAATGCTGGCGACTATATTGAAGGACTGTAAAACATGGTGACATGAATCACTTTTGTATTCCTTGTAAATAAATAGTTGCCACTATTAAAGTTCCAAACCTCGTATACAATCTTTCATAATTTTATACACAAAATCCATTGAAATGCACGTAATTAATATTTTCAAAGAGACTAATTACAAATTTAATAACAAATTCTGAATTTATCCAATAAAGAACCATTAATCACCAAAATATGCAAATGCTATTTTGTAGTTACTCTCTAAATTTAGGCAAGATTTTTTAATTTTGGACTGTAATATGCATTAAAAAGTTATCTAAGTTAGTTAATTTATTACTCAGTAACCATACAAATTTTGTACATAAAGGTATGAAACTGTTTGTATTTCACTTAATCTAATCTAATGGCTATTTTGCTAACTACAACTTTTGTTCGACAAGAATCATATATCGAATTTTTCAGTGTCTTCGTTTAAAAAGCAAAGTACAGCAAAAAAATAAATATAATTTTTCTTTTATTGTTAAAAGCAAAATAAAGTAATAGAACATACCCCAAGTATTGTAAGAGATCTACACTTGCATTTAACATTGCAACTGGATTTGCAATATTTTTGCCAGCAATTCCTTTACCAGTATTCCTTGAACCCTAAAAGAACATACATTTTAAAGAGACAAATGGTAAACAATTTTCCTTATGATGTTAATTTTGTTCATAAATTTTAAGATAATAATGACAGCAATTTTATTTGTGGACTTTAATTTATAAAAATTATTTTATAATCACAGAACTCTACAATATTAAACTGATTTATCAATTCTAAGCAGATGCCTGAAATCTAAACAAAATATGTTTGGTCAAAAATCTTATTCAGGACAAGCAATAATTCTGGGACATTAAAATCCCCAAATGAAAATTTAAATGTAAAAACTATATAAACTGTTTTTTTAATTACATAAATTCTCAAATTAAGATTAAAGTATAAAAAACTCACAGTTTCAAAAACTGCATATTCATGGCCGTAATTCTGCCCTGATATGATACCTGGGCCACCAACAAGTCCACAAGCAATATTGTTTAAAATATTTCCATATAAATTAGGAAGCAGCAGCACATCAAACTGATAAGGATTAGAGACAAGCTGGAAGAAGAAAATATTTTGTAATTTAAAACATTTCAAATGATATACAATCACAAATACTTTTCTCAAATAATGTAGCATTAACTTAACAACAAAAATAAACACAAAATTGTAATGTTATAGACAATAAAATTATGATTAATGGATGATTATCTTGACATTATATGTTTAAATATGGCATAAAATTCAAATCTTCAAACTGCTTTTAAGCTTTTTCAGATACAAAGCTTTATTTATATTATCATGGTAAATGTTGTTGATCAAATATAAACAACAGCTTAATTTTAAAAATATCTAAGTAGAGAAAACATCAGGAAAGTATAAATTCATGTTGATTATGCTAATACCTATAATGACTGACTGTATATTTATTACCTGCATACTACAGTTATCAATAATGATGCTATCAAATTCTATTTGAGGATATTCTTTAGCAATGTCTGAGCAAGTCTTGAGAAAAAGTCCATCAGCTAATTTCCTAAATATTAAAACAATAATAATAATGAATTCTAATATTCATTTGTTTAAAGAAATCTAAACTCACAGCAGACATATCAACAGTGGTAGCTATATTAATACTCATTTATTTTCTCATATTTAATTAAAAACTTGACATGTTAATTTTAAATTTACCAAAAAACAATGTTTTGGATTGGAAATATTATTAGGAATTTAAGAAAACTAAAATACTTAAAAAGAGTATCAGCTTTACAACATGCCAAGCAACTAAAAATTATCAAAAGTATCTATAAATAAGTTTAATATTTGGTTTCATCAAATAAAAAGGTTACAGTGCTAAAAATTTCCTACATTATGGTATGAAAGGCTATGAAGAGTCACTCATGATGTTATGAAAGTTAAACAGATTTAGATGATGCCATGCAATGAGGAATGACTATGCAAAATACTGTTATGTATCACACTAATTCTCATTCAAACAGATGATATGTGTGCTGCCTCAAAATGTCATTTCAAGTACAAAATTCATGTAATTCATGTAAAAATCATTATATCTTTCACATCCACTTGTTCAACAATTATGCTTGATTGGCCAGGTCTTACATATATAACTGGTTTTCACAATTTTGAAAGAAACATGGGTTCTCTGCAGAAGCAGATTTTCATAAGAGCAATTTTCTTCCATGCCTTTATTGAGCATCATCATTATCCTTGCATTTGATTAATATATATAGTTTGTATGGTAATGGAATTAATTTTTTAAACACATATTTTGTACAATAAAATTAAAATACTTTATTTTACCAAAATCTATTTCAAAATCTCTTTTATATATATTTTAGCTTCAACATTTAAAAAAGTCTCTGATTAAATAAAACTTAACACTTTTAAATGTTATAAAAATCTAAACTATTTTAAGTATTAAAAACTTCATTTACTCAATGAAAATTTATATCAATGGCACTACATGTATAAGAGTTCGTACTTTTTGGAGTGTATTTCTTGAATTTTTTACTCAGTCTAAAATAGTTTACAAATATAATATAGACCTGGAATAACCTCACTGCATATTTTATACAGCTTTTTTTCTATTTCTAAATATTCTTTGCAAATAATAAAAATTTACATATGCATCCATCCAACTCTTATACATGACCATACATATTTTGTTTAATACTGTACACAAGTACGTTATATTTGATATAATTGTACAATTTCTAGATAGTGTACATGTTACTTAACCAAGCAGTTTACATTGCATTAAATAGCAAATTAACTTACATTATATTAGCCTTGTGAACTGCAGTAACTTTTTTCCTGTTATTCTGGACGGCATAATCAAAAGCAAAACGAGCAATTTCTTCTGACTTTTCTCTTGTAACTATTTTTAAACTTTCAATAACACCTGGGACACTCTAAAAATATATGTCTCTAGCTAAAATCTCTCACAAAAAGCATTATTCCAATATAAATTTGACAAAAGAAATTTATCAATATCAGACAGCATTCATTATTTTTATCAGGCAATTAGGTGCATTATAAGCACTACTGCATTACGATAAATTCGCACATATCATAATTAATAATCAATGAAAGAACATGTCAAAATTTTATATTAAAAAGAGCTTTATTGCATTAAGGGAATTTAAATACATTCTTTTGGTATTTAAAACAGTAAAGTGCATTGCTTTCTGCCAAGTTAACATCTAATTTAAAATAAAAGGCTTTGCGATGCATAATTTATTATTTAAAGATGAATTTTTTTATACCTCTTACATTTTTATTAATCATTCATTAATATATTTAACCACCACTTTAAGTCACATGGAGATAATGGCTTTCAGGTATAGCAAAAAGACAACACATCAGTTTGCAGTTAAAATTACAGAAGAATTAACACATCAATTTGCAATTAAAATTATGGAAAAATTCAACATGAAATTAGTGTTAAAAACTCCAATGAATCCTGAGGAAAATTTGGGACATTCTCCTCATCAAATCATAAAACAGCAAAAATATTCTTCGACATTCTTTTGCCATCCCTCAAAATGCATAGTTTTCTGCATAACTGCAGTCAATTTGCATTTGAATTTCTTTGTATTTAAATGACTTCTACAAAACCCCAATAACACTTACATTGCAAAGAATACGACTTAAAAAAAAGGAGGACGGAGGGAATTATCCATACTTTCTTTAAACGGTGTTAACAAAACAAAGCAAAACAAAACAAAAAAAAAAAAAAAAAGTTTTTTACAGACGTCAGTTTAAAAATGAAAATAAAAATAAATGCATCTAATATTCATAAATAAGAAAGTGCGTGGGGGGAACAGTAATTCTTCTGCTATTACTGCACTTCAGACTTGGACCTTTTAATAAGGACCCTTTAATGAAGAAGATTGCACATCCTGAATTCTATTTACTCCCCCCACACTCCAAAAAAAATGTCTGTTGCAAAATAGCAATTAGAAAAATTAGTTATTTCAGTGTCCTTCTTCTTTAGTAGACAATGGCAAGAATGGATTGGAATGAGTTATGCAATTTACGCAGGGCCCATTAGCAATATTCTGCATTAATTAAATAATCCTTTGAATTCATTCCTGCCACCGACCACTATAATGGAAAGTCTAAATCTGTCCCACATTTGGTCAACAGTCACTGGCAGGGAAAACTTGTTAATATTAAATTCCAGTTTAGGCAACACTATTAAACTTTATATACACAGCTATACAATATAAAATTCCAATGGGGTTAAATTTAAACAAGGTACTACTAAAAAAAATTTTTTTTAATATAAAAAAAGGAGAAAGATTAGGAGAAGATTGTTTTCAATTTGGAGCATTTTACACCCTACCTTTTCATGTACATAATTTATTTAATCTAGTATGCATTATCAAAACCTGTCATAATTTTAGGCACTTCCGAAAACAGAAATTAATTAAAATACACTATGGTCATTCCATACCAATAAGGATAAAAGATAGCATTAATAATATTGCATTCTATGGGTTCACGGATTAGGAGTAATTGATGATAACACTTGATAAAGAATCAAAATACAACTTATTCACCAGTAATCACTATTACACAGGACAGTTCAAAGACATGTTTACACTCATTGAAAAACTATGACAAACACACTGAAACAATCATCAATACAGCCACTGCTATAACGGTGAAGACAGCTTCAAGGCAAAGCAATAAAGTACAGTTCCCAACTTGGTTGATCGCTCTCAAGCTAATCTATGAACTCAAGGCATTACTCTCTCCCAGGACAGGCAGGATATATAAAGCTTTTACCTACCTTTGAGAATAGTCCCGGGAAAACTGCTAAGAATGTGTTCTAGAATGTTCTTGCTCCGTCTATGGCATATCATCAATTTTGTCATTAAATGTTGCCAAATGGGCGATATTGCGCCAAAATCTGGGAACTTTGCATTTTTATGCCCCTTCCTCGCAACCCTAAGCTTGTGCTTTGCAGGGAAGCTATCTGTGTACCTGTTAGGCATTTTGCATCACTGCCACCATCCAAGAACTGAATGCTCCGGGCAGAACAATCCCTTGTCAGGAGCCATATTCAGTATAAATACAAAACAATAAAAAGAGTAACAAAACAAATAAAGTAAGCAAAGATAAAAGAAAATATTTTCACTATTTACAAATAACTATGTCCAAGATATATACACATATTAACCACATAACAATTTTAAATTATATAAATTAAAGTTCAGAATGAATTTCAGTTTCAGGTGTTTCATCAAGTTATATCCTGGTTAATTACTTTTCCACTGCAATTCTCAGATGCATTTCTGTTTTGCATATCATAGTCTGAATATTGAGTCCTTTCAGATTTTTCATCTACAAAAAGATCTGAAACAGTTTGCTCACTACTCTGTAGTTTATTCACATCATGTATTCACCTTGGTATTTTTAGCAATTGGTACATGCTTCTTTTCCCTCTATTTCCTGAAAACCAGTCTGGATTTTTGCATTAGAGTTATGAATAGAATCTGATTCTTTACAAACAGAAGTACCCTAAGTCTGTGTCGGCACATCTTGTATTACGAGTCATAAAGTTTGTGAAATGGACGTATTTTCTTGCAATACTGGAACACACTGCTTAAGCTGTATATCAGCTTTTTCCACCTTTAGATCATATGAATTTTCAGACAGTTCAATACTTGGCAATTGTGACTTTGTAACTTCACTATCAGTTTCTACTAACATAACAGCCATATTTCCATTTTCTATCATCTCTACTTGGCACTTGAAGGTATGGAACAACCACAGGTAATGCTGACAAAGAGAATTTATTCAGACCTCCCTCGAAAAAATTTCAAAATTTTTTTTCCTCCTGAAAAAGGACTTGTGTCCTATTTCCAACAAAAATGAAAATTTTATTCAAATTCTATGCCAGACTAAGATATATATATATATTGGCCCAATTTTAAATGGCACTATATTCATCATGCCTTTAGTCCTACCTAGTTATTTTATAAGGTACTTCTCCCACTTCCCTAGCATGGCTTCGTGGTGTAACGGTAGCACGCTGGACCTGTATTCCAGAGGTCCGTGATTCGATTCCCGGCGAAGGCATTTGCTATTTTTCATCTTTTCTGCCCAGGGGCATAGCTAGAGGGGGAGGCAGGAGGGGCATCTGTCCCCGGGCGCAGAATCCAAGGGGCGCCAAACTGATGTTAATGACATTTTAGAATTAAATGTTTTCCATCCTTGGCAAGCAGTAGGGGGTGCAAAATCTTCAGTTGTCCCTGGGCGCTGAAAACCCTAGCTATGACTCTGTTTCTGCCTCTAAAAAAAAAAAAAAAAAAAAAAAACCTAATGACTCTACAAGTGGCGCCCAAACTAAAAGGGTTGTGGATGATGATTCTCCGCACCTAGGATTTGGCGACTAGGTCCCCTAAAACCCTAGTCACCCTTTAAAAAGGGGAGTATATAAGGTATTTCTCCCACTTCCCTAGCGTGCCTTCGTGGTGTAACAGTAGCACGCTGGGCCAGTATTCCAGAGGTCCGTGGTTCGATTCCTGGCAAAGGCAGTTGCTATTTTTCATCTTTCCTGCTACCAAAAATATACATAATGTCTCTACAGAGGCGCCCAAACTAAAAGAGTTGTGGATGATGGTTCTCCTCACCTAGGATTTGGCGACTAGGTCCCCTAAAACCCTAGTCGCCCTTTAAAAAGGGGAGTATATAAGGTATTTCTCCCACTTCCCTAGCGTGCCTTTGTGGTGTAACGGTAGCACGCTGGGCCGGTATTCCAGAGGTCTGTGGTTCGATTCTCGGCGAAGGCGTTGTTAATTTTTCATCTTGGCTGCTTCCAAAAAAAAAAAAAAAAAAATACCTAATGACTCTACAATTTTACGTCTTCTATTTTTATCTGTCTTTCTGTTCTACTACCACTGAGATATTTTCTCCCTTTTCTCTTGAAGAAAATGGACTCATGTCAATCACCTCTGAAATTAATAAAATCTAATATAAAACCTATGCCAATTTAATGTTTTGGGTGGAGGAAACCTAATTATATAAAGATTTTGAAACAGTAACACAATGAGCTGAGGAAGAGTTAAATTTATTATTTTATATCTGGTTAATGTGTACAATGTTTTAATAAATTTTGAGGAAAGAACGAACCTTACCAAATATTTTGACATTTTTTACAGTACTGTTCATTTTTTTCTTCTATTTCTCCCCACTTCCTTTTTTTTTAACTTAACTATCTATTTATTCTCAGGTCGCATACTTATTTATAGCTTAATATGAAAATTAATTAATAATAATATTTGCTCACTGATTCATGAAATAAGAAAAAATATGCAAAACTTTCATGTTTAAATTAACAGATAAATTATAATCAATATATTGTTGAAATAAATCCTCAAGAATTAATGTATTCATATGTACATTTATATGTACATTCATATATATCTCAAATTCATATGTACACATGTATTTAAAAAATTCTTACTTCATGTTCTAAGCAGCTATATTCTCCTTCAGTATTTTGCCTAATGAGAACTATGTCAATGTCACTATGCCTTGTTTTAATACTTGGTTGGCTTTTGCAATGTAAAACATTAACAAACAGATTTAGTTCTAGACTAAAAATAAAAAGAAAATAGCATTAGAAGAATAAACTAATTAATAAGAAAAAACATGTTTTGCCATTTTGAAGCAGACTTCACATAACTATTAGGAAATTATCAATTAGGAAAAAATCAATTATCAATTAGGAAATAATAAATAATATCAATTAGGAAGTTATTCACAAATTAACAATATTATATATTGAGAAATAATATATATATATATATGGTATATGAAAAAAAAAAAAGTAAAAAGCAGTTCAAAACCTAATCCAACCGTGTACTGATAACAGCAATAAGAGGTGTAATAATACAAAACAATATAAAAAATAAATACGTTTAAAATCCATCCCATATTCAATTTGGAATAAACCACATGAAAAAACAAAAACAAAACAGAAGCGCAGTGGCAAAATTTTATGAAATAGAGGCAAAAATACTAAAACCAAAAATTAAAAATTATATTTACATATTTCACTGCATCATCCTCAAAAGGTTGGTGAAACAAAAGAAGTACACTGCTGGCCATTAAAATTGCAACACCATTAAAGAAAGCAAATAACAAAAAAGATATATATTGTATGTAAATAGTATGGCATGAAGACAAAATGATAACATTTGTAAGCAGTTTGTGAGTTTACAGGGCTGTGAAAGTAGTAGAAACAGCTGCCACTCCTGGGAACTAACACTGCCCTTACCCGGTTAGGCATGGAGTTGAACTGTGCTTGGATGACAGAAATGGGCAACTCATTCAGTGCTGCTTCAAGTCTATGCCATACTTCATAAACTGCATTAGCTGGAGAGGGATGGCAGGCCAGTCTCTCAGCAACCCATGACCAGATGTTTTCAATGGGTGACAGATCTGGAGACCGCACAGGCCAGGGCAGCAACAGAATACCCTGTGTATCGAGAAAGGTCAGAACACGATGTGCAACATGTGGTCTTGCATTATCTTGTTGGAAGATGGCATTTGACAGGCCTCAAAGATAGGGCACACCCACTGGACTAAAGATGTCAGAAATGTACCCATCTGCATTCAAACAACCGTCAATCTGAACTAGAGATGTGCATGTTGTGTACCCAATGGCTGACCAAATCATCACACCATGTGCAGAGCTCCTATGCTTATATAAAATTTCAAGCCCCGGTGACGTATCATTATATCTTTTTCTTCTTCTGAGTTTATAGTTTTACATGAATTCCATGGGTATGATTAATGTTTCATATTTTTAAACCATCGATATGAAGTAGCAAAGCAATATCACAAGCACCAGCCCGTCAGTAAATTTCGTGAATTCCCAATAGCCTCATCTGCTCCTGGTCCTCAAAATTTCCAGTTTCAAAGTATGTGGATATATATACATTCCCCCCCCCTTTCCTAGATATCAGCATTAAACAATTTGACAGAGGAAAACCTACTATCGCTACCAAAAACATTCCTCTGTATAATGAAAAAATACCCATCTCAAATATAGCTGTATCTCAGGAACAAAATGAAAATATTTGTTATAATTCTCACAGGTGCGAAAATACATCCATTAAAAATATGTTGCTAATCAATGGGGACTTATATGCATATGAAGCAGAATTCATAATATATAAATAAAAGCATACTGCAACTGAATAAATGCTCTTTGCTAATTATTTGCCTTGTCAAATATAGTTACAGGAGCACCATTTATTAATCAGTATTTTTATATAACCTCTGTCAAATGACTGCCATGTAGTACCACATATTCTATCAAGTGGTTTTTGAATCTGTCCACTATTTGCTGTGATAGCAGCTCTGATGATAGATATATTGGTGCATGTATTGTTAAATAGTCAACTTAAAATAAAGAAAAAAGTGGCTTATTACTAATTAAAATCGGAAGTCTGAACTTTTATCTTACATAAATACATCATAACTATTCTAACAAAGGGAAGAAAGATGGACAGAGCAGTCTTGTAGCAGAGATAGTAGGAAGAAGTCTGACAAAAAATGGCACAAATTACGTATTTATTCTAGCTGTTACTTAACATGCCAGAATGTTCTTGAAAGTACTGGTCTAAAAGGAAGGTCCTGAAATTGGACAAAGTTAATTGGAGGTTTCCTGTTCACGTAGAGCAAAGCCATCAAATTTTTTGCATTTTACATATATATATGTAAAATGCAATACATTTTACATATATATATGTATTTTACATTATATATATTATATATATATATATATATATATATATATATATAATATACAATCAAAAGTCTTTAATCCGGACCCATCAGGACTTTTGTGATTCCAGATTATCGGTTTTTCCGGATTATAGATCATCAGTTTAAATCTGGTAAGATGGCATGCAGAAATTATAAAAATAAAAATATGAAACCGTAATTTATGAAATAAAGAGCAATTATGATCTAAAGGGTATCAAAATTTACAAAAAAAAAAGCTTAATATTTATTTGTTTACTTTATTAAACATTTCTTTCAATGTGCGCATGAAATTAGAAAACTATTTGATGTGTATTCGTGATATTTATAATGACGAGGAAATTGATTTAAATTATACTGAAGTACATCGAGGTGAAACATTACATTTAGTGAGGAATTATAAGCCGAATAAAATAAAAACATCTGCCCTGAAGATGAAGATAGTGCTGACAGATCAACTTCCAGCTCATTGCGCATCGCAACGTTCCCCCCCCCTTCCACAGAGCAGCGTGAAATTGATACAAAATGGTTAGAGAAACAAATCACCTCCCTGTCACTTTCTTCATGTCTTTATCCATTTTTTGCAGCAGTTCTACTTTTTGTTTAATGGACATCGAAACATGCTTTCGTTTCGCGGATACTTTGGCAGCTCCAGCATTGGAAATTCTATTTGACATAATCGAAAGTTCAAGCTTATTTTTATAAAATTGCTCTAACAGACTGCAAAAAATAATAAGCCGGATCCAATTTGAAGATTAAGGAACAACGCAATCTGCAACATTAACTGAAATAGATCCTTAAATAATTTTAGCTTAGCTCATACCATCCGTTATACATTTAACGCGCATGCGTAAATGTATTATGCACATGCATGCACATGCGCACACACATATGCACATGCATAAACATATTATGCGCATGCGCACACACATATGCGCATGCGCATAAAGGTATTACGCGCATGCGTAAACACCTACGCACATGCGCAGAAAGTTTGTAGCTTTGAGGTCCTGATTATAGATGATTCCGGATTATGGGTGCCCGGATTAACGACTTTTGACTGTGTATATATATATATATTATATATAATTATATTTTAACAAACATGTAAATACGTAAAAAAGCTTAATTATATATATATATATATAACGTAACGCAATTTTTTACATTTTACATATATAAATACGCTGAAATAAACAATACATTAAAAATTCATCCCACATTCAATTCAGAATAAACCATATGAAAAAAAAAAAAACAGAAGCATAATGGCAAACTCCAAGAAAAGGAGCAAACCATACCAAAAAATGAAATTTATGTCTTTCTCTGCAACGTCATCAGTGGATTGATGAAATGAAATAAATAAATAAATCAGCCTCTTCCTGAACTAATTAAAGAGGCAAATTAAAGATTAAAACTTGAAATAATCTCAGAAAACCAATCAAAGTAATCTGTGTCTTTATCAGTCGAACACCTATGAGCTGAAGTAAAAAATTGTAAAATTACAGCATCAAAAACATAAACAAATTTTAAAGAGGATAAAAATATTATTTTGAGTACATTGAGTCCCCCCAGAAAAAAAAGCAAATATAACCAATCCAATACATGAAAAAATAAAAACATGTAAATTTTGAAACCATTTACATTTTTAAAAAAATCTTACAGCATCAAAATCATAAACAAGCAAAAGAGCTTAAAAATCTAAAAACAATTAATTTTCAGTTTAAGTGGACCAAATAAAATAAAAATAAAAAATAAAAAGAGGTATTAATTCTTAAAATTTGTAACATTAAAGCAACACAAATTTTGTAATGAAAAAATATATTTGACCTGTTCAGTAGCAAAATACTATTGCTAAAATGTGCTATGTAATGAATGTAAATAAACTACAAATTTTAAATTGATTAATATTAATAAAAATAATTAGAAAAAACTGCTATTGTAACATTAAATATGGTGTAGTAAAAAATGTGTGTGTGTGATTATGGCAAAGCCTCGAGGGCTATCTGCCTAAGGGGAGGGATGCTTTCATGGAGGATTTTCTTAGGGAAACTGGCTTGTATACACGTTACACATGGGGAAAACCATGAAAACGCCCATGCAGCCAGCCCATTCGTGAGATTCGAACCCCGGACCCAACTACCAGTGTTTAGCGACTTTACCGCTCGGCTGCTAGTGGGCTTCATGTAGTAAAAATGAATAATTTGTAAAAGAATAAACATTGAATTACAGGGTTTATAATTAGATATTGGATGTTGTATAAACAAAACATGCAAACATTATCAATGCAATACACAAAAGAATAAAAATGTACATAAGCTAAAAATATGTAAATCAAAATTATAATTTAAATTATTAATAGCCCCTTAATTCCTCATTTTAATTTGTGTAACTCCCTTCTCTATTCTAAAAATAGTAATAACATTTTATAAATTGTGCCACTGAAAATTAACTTGCATTACACCATTTGGACTGCCTAGAGAACTCTTTGCCAATCACCATTCAAAGCTTAAACAAGGGATTCCAGTCTTATATATAAGGCTCGCTTTTAAATGCACATTCACTTTTTCTACTCCTCTTGCCTGGTTAGCTAATCTGTCATTGCTTTGCTGTATCTTATAGTGTTTAAAAATGTGATAAGTGTACATAGAATTGTGGGATACTTGTTGCATCCACAGTGATGGGAACAGGAGTAAATAGTATATCATAAGAAATTACTAATCAAGGAATAAAATTATGTGTTTCGTTATCTACAAAGCATTCAATGTCTGCAAATTTCTTTTTCTACTATGAAATTATGTCAGCACCATCTATAACCATTGGC